AGACAATGCCTCCGTGCACAGAGACTTAGATTTGAGATTTTTATTTTTATTTTTTTTTGCTATGTAGTTTTACGTTATAAATAAATTTTTTTTTCCAATTTAAAATTCTTTTTAATTCTTTCTTTTCAAATTTTTTACTTATAAGTAACTTTTTGTAAAATATTTTTCTGTCTTATATTATCTTTATTTTTTTAATATAAAATAATTTTTTTTCTTATATCCCTACTATATATATATATATATATATATATATATATATATATATAAGAGTGGTTGAGCACGGAGTGGTGGGAGGAATGAAAATCGCTAGTTGCAGTATAGTAAAATATATATCAAGCAAGGCAAATGACGTCGTTTTGTTCCCCCACTTAAAAAAAACAGTGAGAAAATGGATTAAATCACTGTTACTTTCTACATTAACTTTACATTCTCCTTTACACAAACACGATGAAACAAAAAGAATAAAAAATAAAAATTTTAAATGAGCAAATTTGAGGTCCCACAACCCAACTTCTGGCGAAATTTTGTGGTATTTTGGCAACAATTTGTTAAATTCTCAAAAAAAAAAAAGCTGAAATATTCACAACAAAAAATACAAAAGAACATACATAAACTCCAATTTCTTCTGAGATTTCACGGTATTTTGGGAGCGATTTGTTAAATCTCACAAAAAAATAAATAAATAAATAAAGATTTAGCAGAAGAATTGAAGGTTTAAAAATTGGGTATACATGTAATCGATTGTGCGTGAAGTTGTTGGGTATTTTTGGAACAATCGAGATAGGGAGATTGAAATTAAGGTTAAAGGCCAAGAGAAATCAGTATCGTAGCAACGTAGAGTAAGAGTGAAATTAGGGTTAAAGGTAAAAAAAATTGTGTTTTAAACGAAAAGAATTAAGAAGAATTTTAAATTGAAAAAAAATATTTATTCAAAAAAATACAATAAAAACAAAATAAAAGAAAGTTACGAAAATTAAATAAAGAATATATAAATATTATTTAGTTAAAATTGAAAATTAAGTTTTATTATGAAGAGAAAAGAGTTAAAAGAAATTTTAAACTGAAATTTTTTTTTTATAATGTAAAAAAAAAAAAAATTATATATGATGTCTCCGTGCATGGAGACTCCATGCACAGAGACACGAACTTAGATTGTTTTTGTTTTTTTTTTCTTTTTGTTTTTTGTTTTTTGTTTTTTGGCTCTCCATGCACGGAGACTTAGATTATTATTAATTTTTTTTTCTTGTGCAGTTTTAAGTTATAAATATATATTTTTTTAATTTAAAATTCTTTTTAATTCTTTTCTTTTCAAATTTTTTATTTACAAGTAACTTTTTGTAAAATATTTTCTGTCTTATATTATCTTTATTTTTTAATTTTTTTTTATATAAAAGTGATTTTTTTCTTATATCCCTACTATATATATCTATATAAAAGTGGTTGAGCACGGAGTGGTAGGAGAAATGGAAATTGCGTGTAGCAGTATTTTCTTACTGTATAATAAAATATATATCAAGTAACGCAAACGACGTCGTTTTGCTCCCCCCACTTAAAAAAAATAAAATTAAAAAAGTTACAGTGAGACAAAATGGATTAACTCACTGTTACTTTCAACGGTGCCTCCTCATTCACCTTTTTATATTGTAGGAAAATTGTAGCTGGAGTTCCAGATCTTTTAATTCATTGCAGACTATACCCAATTTTTTCATTTTTCACCCACCCTCCCAACTCTTTAATCTAAATAGCAGTTGGAGCACATATGGACGAAATTCCTCCATCTCTTCTTTGTAGAAAATTTACAAGTTGTGAGTTCTAACTTTTGACATAGATTATGTTTGAGATTGTCGTTTTTAAATTGGATGAGTTAGTTTGTTTTGTTGTTTGAGATTGTGATTTTCAAATTTAGTGAGCTTGTTTGTGTTGTTGTTTAAGATTTGGGTACGGTGGTGACGATGGATGGTGCCACATCGTGTGGGCAGTGGTTTGCAATAACTGAATTTTCTGATTTTCTATTTTTCGAATGGATGTGGGTGGAGGTTTTGAAGAAGATGAATATTTTTTTCCATTAGTTATTTTATTATAGAAATGTTAATTTATCATTTTATAACATTTAAAATTGGTCATAATTTGACTTTTGGTCTACTAATGGAGGAACGGACGAATTTCATCCATACATCCTCTAGTGCAATCGAGGTAAAATATTTGAGATTATAGGTGCAAAATAAAAGTCGAGTATAGTTTAAAATAAATTAATATGCTAGGGACCCTGCTACAATTCTTCCAAAGTTTTCCTGGCTGCAGTTACATCGGACACAGATTTGTGTACAAAAACGGACCCAAGAAGCCGCAAGTCACTACTTTCTCATGCCAAAAAGTAGTGGTAGATAGAAAGTCTTTGTTATTCTTATTCATAGGTTTAACTTTGGAAGCCTAAATTTATCTGTTGTGGTGGTGAAAATTGAATTGTTGCTTTTGATTCAAAGGATCATCAATGAATTTTTTTCTTGTAGTTGTGTAATATCTTAATGCATAATTATGTGCTTTTCTTTAATAGTTTAAAACGCACAGATTGTTCTCTTCTCCACTTATAGAATGTTCGATACAGGCAGGATTAGATAGTATTGAATGTATTGAGAAAAATAAGAATATTCATTGTACTATTTAATCTTTTTCAATACTGTGTAAAGAACATGCACTCACAACATGCTTGGGATGCACTATTAGCAAGAAGATCATGTAATGGTCAAACTTTTAGCTTCTTTTTCATCTTTAATAATGTCTAGTGCGGCCAATTTACTTTAACAGACTCAAGAGTGAAATTTTAAAGTTTTGTTTGCTCCATCATGTACTCTTTCATCAGCAAGTTAAGTTGCAAATAACAAAAACCTAAATAATCTATTGTTAAATTCGCTAGTACAAGATTTAGCCATGTATTTGGCCTCAATTTTTAAAACTCATTTTATGGAATTCACAAATTTTATGAACTTTTAAATTACACATTTCATCAACTTTTATCAAAATCTATTAAAAATATAATTTTTAACCAAATCAAACACTTAGGCTTCATTCCGTTACAAGTATAGTTTTTACACAAAACTTGTTGGAAATATAGACCTGCATATTCAAATAACATAACTTTTATGTACATAAAATCAAACAGAATTTTGATTTACCAAAATCAAATACATAAAGTAGAAGCGAGAAATGCATGAATATGAATTTGGTTGAGGCAAGAATTCGACTCTTTTTCCTTAAAACAATAATGTTCTGCACGGATGTTAACGATTTTTCAACATTCGTCTCTCAAGATACGATGACCACATCATGCAATAAGGGCACTCCAAATAAATACAGATTTCAAATATCCGTACAAGCTGATTGCATAGCTTGTTCATGTAAACACAAACACTTATGGAGCCAATTTACATTATAATTGAATAACATGGATCGGGACTAAGAACTCAAGTGGGAGACCCTCATCATAAGTGATCTTATTATTCGATATAGAGAGCACTTTGTATGTTATATACAAGTGAACTTACACACAAAAATTGTCTTAAAGTTCCATTGTTTGTTCCATTGACCTTATTTATACTTCAGTGTGGTATAAAGTGAAAATATAAATAGTAGAGAAAATCTTCGTTTGAGGTATTTTGAAAGTGTAATAAAAAATTGTCAACTCGCACTATATCTTGAACCTGCATCGAACACGGAAATACTTTCATTATGCCCATTGATTTATATTCTTGGTCAGTTTAAATTCATTATTTAATAAGTAGAAAAGAAAAAGATATCTAGGTATATTCTTTAATTTCTAGTGAAAGGCTGCAGTTGTGCACCAAAGAACACACAACCTACTCTTAAAGCTAAATCATTGTAAATAATTACAAAATTTATTTACATTTACAATATTGTCATTTGTCAATATGTGAATTTTCTTAAAATTGTAAATCCATATGACTCGAATGCAAGATCGAGATGTTTCGATGCTTAGTTACTATATTGATACAACTACAAAACAGTTTAAGTTAGAAAAAACGAGATACTTGGGGGGGGGGGGGTTAGTTTGTTGTTTTCAATTTTCAATTTTGTAAAACACCAAAAATTATTTTTGTTTGGTTTGATATTTTTGAAAATGTATTTTTAAAAACAAGATTAAGTTTATAATATAAAAATCTAAATATATTTTTTGATGTTTTTAGTATTTTAAATGAAACACTTAAAACCTGAGAAAATTTTATTTTTAATTTCCTATTCTTTTCAAGTTAATTTATTATTTATTTGTATTTTATTTTTGTAACAAAAAATGATATATTGTAAGATTCATTAACTTTAAAATGTATAAATTACCTGATAATATGTTAGCATAAAATTGATTTGTTTTACGGAATAATCAAATTTATTGAATAAAATATCATAAAATAATTTCTAAAAATTCCAAAACAAACACACTTTTTTTGCAATCTTAAAAGAGTAATGATATTTAGCACTAGTAGTGTTATAATATCAGTTTAGGTGGTAATAAGTATCATTAAATGAATCGCGTAATTTTACTTTTAATTGAACTTATCACAAAATATCACACACTCTAATACCACTTGTGTTAGATAACATTATTCATTTTAAAATATAAACTTAATAGAAAATTGAAAAATGAATTCAAAATTCAAAATTGAAACTGAAACTGAAATGCAAATCAAACTAGACTTAAGTTTTCATATTTATAAGTTCAACACCAAATGTTTCTTTTTGTTCCTTCCCATTGTGCTTATGCTGATTAATTTTAGAGTAATGCTATTCGTAGTCGTTCCCTGCAATAGTCGTCCTACGTGGCATACACATGGCAGGTGATATTTGATGTATTAATGTGGTATTTTTTTATTCATTAAAGCATCAAATAACCATCTGTCATGTGTATGCCACGTAGGACGACTGCCGCAATGAACAACTGCAAATAGCATTATTCTTAGTTTTATACTTGCTATTTTTAACACTAAAAATTAATATTAAACATAAAACTAGCCTTGTTATTAGTGGGTACAGCCGTACAGGAACTTTCCATGAGAAAACCATAAGATAGAGGAAAATGGGACATAAAAGGGACAGGGAAATTATGCCCATTTGGCCAGAAAAGACATACATCCAGCACCTAGTAGAAGTGAAATATGTGCTCCCAACTGAAGTCTAACGCTGCTCTGCATCCTATGATTCATGAAATCTGCTGCTAGCAGATCAACAAGTGCCATGTAAATCAGTATCCCGGACGAAGCCGAATTCAAAATCCCTTCAACAATAAGAGCAGTCGGGCTATTTTCTTTGTACACATTCGATATTCCAATTCCAATCGCGATTCCAACTGGGGTAGTGAAGGAGAAAAAGAGCGTCATAACTGCCGTCGTTAGAGACTTGAATTTGGCCTAATCATGCCAAGAAAAGAGAAATGAGCTTAAAGAAAAGGTGGGGGGACTCGGAATAACTTTCTTGCTACCATTCGAAATGATGGAAAGATTATGACAGCATGAAAATGAACCATAAAATAGAATGATGAAAACATTATGACAACATTTGCGACTTCGTTGATTCCTAAATTTAGGATAAATTACCTGTGAGATGCAGCCACCAAGTCCCATACCCTCAAAGAACTGATGAAATGATAGGGCTGCCAATAGAGTCTTTACTGTATCAGGGCTATCTGAAGCCCCCAGTGAAATTCCTATTACCACTGAGTGCACCAAAATTCCCAATTCCAAAACCTACACCAAACAATCACGACTATTCTCAATCGCCTCATCTAAAAGTTTAAACAGTTAATCTAGAACTTACTTGTGATATTATGCGCTGCCGGACAAGATCAAGAAAGCCAGTCTCACTATTCGAAATTGCAGCCCCATGAGCATGACCGTGTGTGGCGTGAGTGTGTACATGTACATGTCCAGCGTGTTCGTCACTAGCCTCTTCGTCCACGTTCACCTGTTTAATCTTGTTGAAGTGCAATTTTTTGTAGAAACTGGTTGCAATTGTGTCCACCGTGAGCGTCCCAATCGAAGCCACCATTGCGACAAATCCCGCGAAGGGAAATTTCCCCCATGGATTGTGGCTAAGGCAAGGAGATGTCAAAGTCTCGAATGCTTCCGGAAGGATGTGAATGAACCCGGTTGCTAAAATCACACCAGCTGCAAATGCTTTGATCATGAAGAATATATCATTCTCGGGGCGTAAAGCCTCGATTTTTCTGCCAAGAAGTGGGAGACTCACACCAATGCCACCAGAAACAAGAACAGCAGCTATGGCGCTCAGTTTGTACTTAAGGGCCTCGGTTTTATTCCGGTGCTCGGATTCATCATTGCAAGTGCACTCTCCGGTAACCACCGCGGGAAGTGAAACAAGAAGAAGGGATGTCAAGATTATGATCTTATGAGAATAACACCATTGAAGACTGCTCATACTGAAACAGAGCAAGTGAGAAGACAAGTTTCAGAAATTTTGAGGTATGCAGTCGAGTCTTTTGTGAGTACTATATAGGGAAAGGTGCTTTGTCGAATCTTTAATTGATTCGCCAATTAATTAACAAGAGTATCTTGATGGATGGTGAACAGAACCCAGCAAGAAAAAGATGTATTTATACTGTTTCTAAGTATCTTTGAATAGAATTTTGTATTGGTGGAGTTGTCATGTCTAGCAATTATGTGCGGCAAACTAAATATTAGGACATTCGTAATATGTGGAGTGAATGAATTCTACATCAAATGCTCAGTATCGATATTGGAAATGTCTTTAGCTCCTCGATTCATTTCATGACGTGAAATCTTAGGTTATGAGATTTTTTGCAATGATTATATCTTTTAGAATGATGTTTTATTCAGAGTTATGTCTATCTAATTAAGAGTCGTTCTATTTCTATTTTACAATATTTTTTCTACAAAAATCATGTTATACTGCATGTCACTAGAATCAGCACAAACTTTTTCAGAGTGGAATAATATCGCAGAGGAGTTCCATTTGAAATGCTCTTGTGGAAAATAGTATTATAATATGGTGCTAAAAGAAACCCTGAAATAAT